TCAAAATAGTTCTCTACTCAGCCGGCCTCGTTAGAATCTTTTCCACCTGGTATGGAATAGCCTGTCCGATAAGGCGCAGACCTTTACGTCAAGTCTGCCTCTTCTGTTTATCGTTGTACTCTAAAAAATGAGTAAAACCTTATATTCGGTTGACCCAATTGTGAAAAATTCGCGGCCTCGGTGGGATTCGAATCCACACAGCAGGGGAGGCTTCTGTACAGCCAACGCTACGAAGAAACACCGAAGCGTTGAATTTAATCACACTTGGGTCGATTTAACCACCCAGCCTCCTGTTCGTATGGAATCCACCATTATGGATACATTAAGCTTACTGCCCAGGCAGGCTTTCCTAAGCAATCGTCTTGAATCCACCAGAATGATGACTAGGCTCACTTAGTTACTAGAGGGTTTGACGAATTTTTCACAAACGATTCAAGTGAATTATTCAAATCTGTCAACCTCCTCCCCCCTCCCCCCTAATAAAAGCTTAAAGCCGATACTCGGTCAGAAAACGCGGGCACTCTGGTCATAAATCGATATTTCCCACGTGGAGCGACTAACTTTAGACCAGGCACGCTCGTGTACGCTCGCGAAGCGTCATGGCTGGGAAGGGAAGCAGGAACCAGAGAACCCAATAGAGCCAATCCATGCCTTTGAACTCGGAGCACAATGGCTACCATCCTCGCCAAGTTTGCTTCCATGGGAGCCAAGAAGGGGGGCAAGATGGCGGCCAAAAAAGTCGGCAAGGCCGCGGCAAAGAAGGTCGGAAAGAAAGCCGGTAAAACGGCAGGGAAAAAAGCAGGCAAGATAGCAGCAAAAAAGGCTGGCAAAACGGCAGCTAAGAAGGCAGGTAAAAAGGCCGCAAAAAAGGCCGCAAAAAAGGCCGGAAAGAAGGCTGGAAAGAAAGCTGGTAAAAAGGCAGGAAAGAAGGCCGGAAAGAAGAGGGCTAAAAACAATCTGCGGAATAGACTGAAACAGAGATTACATGAAACCGAGGCCGATGAAGATTTCCAGGAGGAGGATGAAGAAGTGGAGGAAACGGAGACAGAAAGCTCAGAAAGAGAGGTGGAGCCCGAACAGACCACTAAAACCTGGGCATTCCGAAAAGGAGGAAAGAAGAAGAACAAAAAAGGGCAAATGAATGCGACTAAATCGAAACAAGCAGGCAAAACACAGACTACTTGGAGCAAATTTAAGGGTCTAGTAAGCGGTAAAGCAAAGAGACCGGATCCGGATAACGAGGATAGAAAATCCAAGGGAAGGCGAG